AATCCCAATAATTTCTTTTTGAACTTTTGCTTCTATCCTTTCTTTCAACTCTTTCATTCTTGGTCGAATTTCAGTCCAAATATAAAAGAACTTAGGAAGCCCTTCTTTACCAATAAAAACTACGGGAAAATATCCATCTACTTCCTTAGGTAAAGGGATATCAATCGGTAATGTTGCAAAAGGATTATGACTATCAGAGTAATTACCACAATCACATAGAGTTCTTTTTAATAACATACCAAAGAATAATTCACTAATAACACTTTGATTATTTTGGATATATTTTTCAAAGGCATTACAATTCATTGATATTTCAATTTGGTTTTCTTTTTGAAGATAACCACTATCTGTAATATTATCTTTTATCTTTAAAAAGTTTTCTGAATTTTTTGATAATGTTAATACCATTTCTTGTGATGATCTATGTTTTTGTTCATTTGTCTCTTCTTCTTCAGTGCTCTCTTCAGAATCAACTGTTTCTTGGATTGTGGCAGAACGAACAAGGGGTTTATCTTCCTCTATTTTTATTGTTACAAACTCACTTTTTTTTATTAAGGGAGACCCTTTATGAACTTCTGTCTTTTCATTTGAAATTATTTCTTCTGGAATTTCTAATACTAAAGGTTTTGGTGGTGTTTTTGTTTTAGCAATCTCAGGTACTCCAATTTGGTGTTCAGTCATTTTAATGGGAAGAATAGGCAAATTGTCTTTAGGTAATGAAATAGGAATTCCAGACCGAGTCCCTCTCATTTCCTTATCAAGCTCATCTAATAAAAACAAAAAGAATTCGGATGCATCATTTTGGTTATTTCCTTTAAACATTACATTTTTTTCTCCCATAATTTCTTTAACTCCTCTAGGTGTACAAATAGCATATTCACCACAAAACATTGCTTGGATAAGAGCAATAAGAGCAATATTAATTTTGTTATGGTACTGTGTTTCATTACCAGGTGCAATATCTTTACGTATGAGATTATCTTGAGTTAAACAGAAATTTTGAAATAGTTTAGAATGAGCAAGACTTTGTAAAATACAATTCATATAACACGTATTTCCTAAATTGTATAATCCACACACTCCATTCGGTAATTTTTTTGTTGTTTTTTTGTGATTTTGACGAGTGAAGAGACGATAAATAAAGCTCATTCAAATATTTTCAGTTCTTTTTATGTCTTCTTTTTATTGTTAAGTTTTCTTATTAATTTTCCTTTGACCTCATTATAATTTCAAATAAAATTTATGGCTCTTCAAAAAATCTTCTTATATTATGACAACAAATAAATTACAAAGAACAAACATCCTAATTATCTTAGGGTCATGTTAAACTAAACTACTCACAAAACATCTTGAGAACTAAATTATTTGTATTAGATTCTTTAAAAAGAAATGAGTAGTTATATTATTTTGTTGAATAAATATTGTTATATAAAACGAAAATATTTATATAGAATTAATATTAATTAAATATTTTATAATAAATTAAAATGATTTACTAAAATTATAAATTACTGAAAAACTTCGATTAATGTTTTTTTTTATTGATAATTTTGATTCATTACTTTGGTGTAAAAGTACAACTCTACTATAATATTAATTTTGTAGAAATTGATTATCTTTTTGTTTCATTGTTCTGTTGATGTTAAATATTTTATTTAATTAAAAAAAGTTGTACTTTATAAAATACAAGTTGATAATACAGTAAGTCAAGAAAACTTTATTAACAACTACAAGACATAAATCCTTTCTTAAAAATTTTCCTAAAAAAAGATATATAACAAAAAGACAAAATTATGATAAAACATTATAAACTAAATATTTATTAAAAAAAATTTTTCATTATTAATTTATAAAACATAAAATATATATAACAATATAAAACAAAAAAAAAATTAAAGATAACAAAAACGAAAATAAAGAACTTATAATAAATTTGTTAAGTTGAGTATGGAAGAAGTGTTGTTAGTAAAGAAATTAGCTGAAGACGCCACTATTCCAACAAGAGGGTCAAATTATGCTGCAGGAATTGATTTATATTCTAATACAAATTTCATAATTCAGCCACATGATAGATTTTTAGTTTCAACAGGAATAGCAGTTCAAATTCCACACCAATGTTATGGAAGAATAGCACCTCGATCATCACTAGCACTCAAATATGGAATTGATGTTGGTGGTGGTGTTATTGATGAAGACTATAGAGGGGAAATAAAAGTAATATTGTTTAACCATTCAAATGAAATATTTAATTGTAGAAAAGGTGATAGAATAGCACAACTTATTATTGAAAGAATTTCGTGTTGTAGAATTTCAGAAGTAAAAGAATTAAATGAAACTGATAGAGGGTCAAATGGATTTGGTTCAACAGGTAAATAAATATTTTATTATAATAATTTTTAAAAAAAAAAATGAGATAGAATAAAGAATGTTTAAATTACTGAGTTTCTGTTATATTTTCTTTTACTTCTTCATTAGATTCTGCCTTTTGTTTAATTTCTTCAACAATAATTTTCATTCCAGAATCATAAGCTCTTAAATGTTCTTTAGCAGATAATTGAACATTCTTTTGAACAATATTTCTGAACCTTTTCATTAATTCATCAGCTCTTTGTTTCTTTTCTAATTCAATTTGTTCTTTCTTTCGTTCATCTTCTTCTTTCATTGTCTTTAAACATTCATTAAATTTACTTTCAACTTCTTTAGCCATTTCAGGTTTAATAATATTTGTTGGTTGTGGTCTCCATAATAATCCAGCAAAATTAGTTTTGTATGTTTCAAATTGTAAATTTCCAAAACAATCATATAACATAAATCCATTCTTTGCATGTGGAGAATAAACATATGAACGAACTGCACCAAGGAATAATCCCATTGGATCCCAACAAATATAACTCATATTTTCAATTGGAACTTTTTTATATAATTTCATTCTATCAGTATTATAGAAATATAAATATGGTTCTGATGTATTAATTCCACTTACTACCATAAATTGTCCATTTGGTGAATAAATAAATGATTTAGCTTCGATATTAGGAAGTGATGAAATTAATTTAGTTTCATTACTACTAATATCATAAATATGTAATGTTGGGAATAATGAATCTCCTTTTTTACTATGTTGATATGCCATAATACCAAATTGCATTTTTATTGGATTAACACTCATAAAA